CTTAGCGGGAGACTAAATCGTGATGGCTGACTGAACGGTGACTCTGGGTTTCAAGCTGTAAATTTTTGTCTTTCAAGATGATTGGGTTGAGGAGAGGAGGGAGAGAGCAGGAGTGTGGGAGTTGGAGTACTGGGGGAATCTTAGGTGGGGGCAGAAGGGAGGCCAACCAACCAGGGTTAGATATAGTTAAGACTTAGATACAGTAACAGACATGAAATAGGCAGTATATCATTGGGCCTTCTCTACTGGCTCACTCCCCAAGGCCAAGGCTTGCAGGGAATTGTTTTCAGACAGATTGTGCTGTTTTCTAAAGCATGTTAGCCTAATTTATGGGGTCCATAAGATCCTCGGGCACCGCCCCCCCCCCCCCCCCCCCGCACCTCTTCTCCCCTGGTCTGCACTCTATGCGCTAGAATCCAGTTCACAAAGGGCTGGAGGTTGAGGAAACACACGCAGAGACAGACCAACACACGGACCCCCAATCGCTGGTACAAAAGCCCTTCTTTAATAGCACCATGGAGGCTTAAATACCCTGCAGTCAATGGCCAACAGGTGAAAATCCTATCCTCTGATCCACCAGGCAAAGCACAGCTTTTAGTAACTTCCATTAGAAGGCTCTAATGGAAGAGCAGCTGAAGGCCAGGACTCAATTGGTCCCAACAGTCTGTGTCTGCCTTTTTAATAATCTTCCCAGGTAACACCAAAATACATGATACCTCAAGACTCGCACTCAGTGACTGTGACAAATGAGATGGAGGACCAATGTGAACATATTGTTTGCCATTAGTTTCAGAGCAAAGCTAAGGGTACAACTGGGATTTGAAAATCTTCCTCCAGCAGAATAGCCCAAAGGTCCTTCTGCAGAAACAGCCCGGGACTCGGGTGTTTTTCTATCTGAAGCTGAGAGCTTGGCTGTGGACTGAGGACCCATGTTATCCCTATACCCAAAGGACATCACAGAAATCCCACCATTCCACCAGCTTCACATACAGATTTATGGAACTTTAGTTAATGGTGGCCAGTGTCATTTTTATTCTTAGTATCTGGCTGCCTCAGGGGCATTTCCCAGCTGTAGTTGCGTTGCGGCTATAATCACTGGAGGTGATGAATTCAGGAACGGATGCTCAGAGTGTGCGATTCATCTGTTTCCCCCTCCAGGAACCTTGCTCTACACCTGTGGTTCTCAGGAAGGGGGAGATTTTTCAGTACTCCAGGTCAAGGCTGGTCATGTCTAGAAACATTTCTGGCTGCTGTACGTCAGGGAGAAGATTCCTCTGGCATCTCGTGGATCTGCAGGATGCTGACCACCCGACATGCACCAGATGCCCCTCAACAAATACTGATAAAAGCAGGTGCTAGAAACTGGTTGGGCAGTTTTGGGGCAAGGGACCCAGGAAGAAAACAGTTTTTACAAGGCCAAAAGCTGGAACTGTCCCAAGGCTTGTTGGAAGTTTTGTCCTTGACGAAGTCCAGGGATGCCAGAAATACTTCAACCAAAATGTCTTTGGTTGTGCACTGGCTGGAAGCCAGGATGCCAGGTGGGAGGTTTCTGGTTTCTCATTATCTCTGTTTCTCCTGGAAGCAATTGGCAAAATAGGACCAAAACAGAGAAGAGGCACCTGGATGCCCCACGACTGGGCCAAATGTACTGACCAGCACCTCACGCTCCCTGTGTCTCACCACAGTTTCTGCTAAATGTCTATTAAAAGCCCAGCACACACACACACACACACACGTATATATATATGTATATGAAGGCCATCTAAATAAAATTACCAAATAATTTAGGAGACAGAGCCCCAAGTAGGCATTTTTTGTCACCAAATAAAGCTTCCAGTACTGGGAATGGGTGGGAATGGGTTACATCTAGTTGAATTTTTGGCCAAAGGGGTCTCATGGGAACCCCCAAACAACCCAGGTTGTTGCCAAAGCTATGGTTTGCTCTCCAAAAACCGACAGCAAGGCCCTATTGCTGAAGACAACACCCACACAACTCATTGAGCATGAGACTAGATAAGTCACAGGCCCAGAGGGAACCCAAATAGCAAAATATTGTTTGAATATAGCAACAGAATGTCTCCTGATGACATTCTGTTATACCCCTGGATCAGTGTCTCACTCATCCTTCACCAGAGAAGTTTCCTCTTGCAGTAGGTAGGAACTAAAATGGAGACCAACAGCTGGATGGCATGCGGAGAGTGAGGGCCTTGGAACCCTCAGTCCTGTAAGGGCCGTCTCCATCAAACCCCTCCCTTCAGGACTAGCTATTTGTGGAAGACAAGGCAGAAAGATTGTAGAGCCAGTGGAGATGGGGACACCAAGAGCACAGTGTCTTGTAGGTGGGTGCACGTGACCCACATGATGTCACAGAGACAGGCGACCTGCACAAAGCCTGTCCAAATTCAAACCCGGCAGAGTTCCAGTGAGGGACTCAATCCCCCATCTCTGATCAAGATGCTGTCTCTGATTGACAACCACTTTAAAGTGAGAAATATGTTTTCTCCCATAAAGTCCCTTGGGGATATAAACTACACTTAAAGATAGGCCTCTTGGCCAGCATGAAACAAACTCAAACTCAGTGGTATTTTTGTAGATCTTTTCTTTCATATTGCTTTGTTTGCACATTAAAAAATCTTACTAGTCTTTTGCTTGTATATTATGGTTTCTGGTTTGTGTGTGGGGGGGTGTTTCTTGTCATTTTTCAATGTTGTTTTTTTTTTGCTTGACTAATTAGCTTGGTTTTTAAATTCTGGGGTTTGTTTTGTTTTGGTTATGTTTTTTTTTTTTAAATTTGCTTGTTTGGTTTCTAAAGAGAGAGAGAAATAAGGTTTGGGGTTGGGTGGGTGGAGACGTCGGGGAGGATCTGGGAGGAAATGAAGGAGGAGAAACCATGATCAGAATATATTTTATAAATTTCAATAATACATAAAGAACAACGGATTCCTTATTGCCAACCACCTAACAGAGACTTGCCTGCTTGTCATGTAGGAATCTACATATAAGCTGTTTAAAAAAAATCTCTACTTTCCTGCTCATTGTTATTGTTATAATCATATTTTAGACAGTGTCTCACTATGCAGCCCAGGCTGGCCTAGAACTTACTTTGTAGCCCAGGCTGGCCTAGAACTCACTTTGTAGCCTAGGCTGGCCTGTAACAAATAATCCTTCTGCTTGGGATTTCTGGGTGCATCATTTCTATTTTGAACTCATAATTGGCTCTATCATCATCTACAGTTTTTTATACCAGAGTAGCAGCTGTCCTGTCTGATTCCTCCTTCCCGTTTTAGTTTGGGTAAGAAAGGGCCCTAAAACCTCCACATTTATGAGATAAAGGTTTAGTTTCCACCTTGAGAGGAAGTAGAACAAATTCTTCTTTTACTTCTCTCCACCTGGAATGTTCTGGAACTTTTCTCATTTCTGTGCCATGGAAAATATTTCCCTTTAGTTCCCAGGAATCCACAAGGATGACCCTAGCTAAGAATCTAAGCAATAGTGGAGAGAGGGCTTGAACTGGCCTTGCCCTGTAATCAGATTGATGATTGCTTTAATTGTCATCACAGAACCTTCATCCAGTAACTGATGGAAGCAGATGCAGAGATCCACAGCTAAGCACTGGGCCAAGCTCCCAAAGTCCAGTTGAAGAGAGGGAGGAAGGATTATATGAGCAAAGGGGTCAAGACCATGATGGTGATGCCAACGGAAACAGCTGACCCGAGCTGCTAGTGGGAGCTCACTGATCCTGTACTGACAGCTGGGGAACCTGCATAGGACAGAACTAGACCCTCTGAATGTGGGAGAAGGTGGGGAGTTTGTGAGGTCACTGGCAGTGGGATGAGAATTTATCCCTAGTGCATGAATTTGATTTTTGGAGCACTTTCCCTACCGAGGGATATTTTGCTCAGCCTTGATACAGGGGGTAGGGCCTTAGTCCTACCTCAAGTGATATGACAGACTTTGTTGACTCCCCATGGGAGGACTCACCCTCTCTAAGGAATGGTGGGGGGAGGACTCACCCTCTCTAAGGAATGGATGGAAGGTGGGGAAGGGAAGGTGGGGGAGAAACGGGAGGAGGGAGAGGCGGCTGTGATTGGTATGTAAAATAAAAAAGATTATTAAAAAAAGAAGATATTTCCCTTTACCCAAAACTCCCTTTCTCTTTTCCTTGTTCCATAGCTCAGATAACAGCTATTCAAGGCCATAATCATGTTCCAGTGATTGACTGTTAATTCTCTAAAGCTGGACCCCTTTATAATAGGTACCCAAATCTTAGCTAAATTAAAGATGGAACTTTCTCATTCTACTACTTCCAAAGAACAGTTACTTTGAGATTATTTTTCTTTGAAAGCCTTTATTAATATCACATCCATACCTCATAATCAGAAGTGAATGTTTTCATACACGTTTGAATAGGGATAAACTCTCCAACACACATCAACCCTGTGATGGGTCATGGCACTGACTACGTGGGTTCCATCAGCATATGTCATATGTCGTATCAATCATGAGTTCAAGGAAGCGGCAACAGCAACTTCCTGACTAGTACTGAACAAGTCTAAGCTTTGCATGTGGCCCCGAATCCAGGTCTTGATTTGAAAATCAATCTCTTCTATGTGGCCTGGTTGTGAGGGCAGGAAGTGTTAGAACAAGGTGATTTGCTTCAAATAACCCATGTTGGAGATCAGAAGATATTCAAAGGATGTGGCACTGGAGGCTGATCTCACATTCATGTTATTTTAACAACTTCCCCCTCACTCTGCTCTGCCCCCTGGCACCATATGTAGTTGAAGTGCAAACACCGCGTGGTGCAAGATTTAAAGTAATTCTAGTTTCTATTTCTAGCTGTACTGCCATAAGGCATGCAAAAAGACAGACACTTCCTGGCAAGCGCCTTTGTCGTCAGCAGAAAGGGAAAACAGAAATACAGTGTTGGGGGAGACATTTCTTTGGAAAAAAAATCAGGCAGTGGCTTTAACTTAGACACAAACTCTGTTTAGTCCTAGCTTCACCAATGTTCCTATTGGATTAAACACTGGAAAGCAAGAGCAGAAGCCGGAGTTAAGTAACATCTGAAACTAAAGGACAGAGCTGTGCGTAGTGTGGACTGAATAGGACCCCAGACATGATGGTGCCCTTTCCAGAGAACAGAAGAGTGAGGATGGTTGTTGCGGCCACCACTCTTCGGAAGACGTAAAATATATGTGAGTTCTCTTTTTCCTGAACTATTTTAATAATTTGAAGGTCAGATCCTGACTTGTTGTTAGCATGACATTTCCCATCTCTTCGGCCACCATGCTGGCTAGTTTTATGTCAACTGGACAAGAACAGGGAGCCTCGGTTGAGAAAATGCCTTCATAAGATAGGCCTGAACACAAGCCTGTAGGGAATTTTCTTTTACGTTTTTTGTAAGAATTTTTTAAATGCAATCTTTTCTCATTTTACATAACTATCCCCGTTCCCACGCTCTCCCCTCCTCCCACCCCCCCCCCTCCCCCTTACTTCTACATCCGCTCTTCAGAAAGGGTAAGGCTTCCCATGGGGAGTCAATACAGTCTGACACATCTTAATTAGTATTTGACGTGCAAGGGTTCAGTTATTGTGGGTGGTGCCATCCCTGGGCTGGTGGTCCTGGGTTCTGTAAGAAAGAAAGCTGAGAAATCCATGAAGAAGCCAGTAAGCAGCTCCCTCCATAGCCTCTTCATCAGTTCCTGCCTCCAAGTCCCTGTCCTCTTGAGTTTCTGTCCTGACTTCCTTCAGTGATGAACAATAATCTGGAAGCAGAAGTCAAATAAACCCCTTCCTCCCCAAGTTGCTTTGGTCATGGTGCTTCATCACGGCACAACCCTCATCAAGATAGCTACCGAACAGGCCAGTTAAGGATGCACACATTTTTCTTTATCAGTTTCAGAATCCTCCTGAAACATAGCTAGTGAGGACGGCATTTTACTCACATGTCACCTTTGAGAAGAGGCCCGAGGTATAGAGAAAGCTAGCTTCAGTCATAGCACTTCATATACGAAAATACATCTACGTCAGTAGTACAAGACCCACTGGTTTGATTAGGCATGCATCCATCAGTGATTGGTGACAGTTCTTGATAATGCCATGTTTCCTTTTAGTAATGGTTCCCATAGCATGGCCTGTGGGAAATCAGTGAATGAATATGGTACCCGATGTCTGTCATCTCAAATGACCATTGGCTGGGCAGATCTCTCACAGTGCCTGAGGCTGGGAGTTCTAGCTACAGCCCTCTTATGGGTTGCAGATTGCTTGTGTGCATGTCCTCACATGGCAGAGAGAGACAGAAAGAGAGAGAGAGAGAGAGAGAGAGAGAGAGAGAGAGAGAGAGAGAGAGGCTTATTTCATTTAGCATAGGATCCTCAAAGTTCCTCCATATAGTATTAGGCAGGACCGGGATTCCTTTCTTCTCAGTACTAAATAATATTTCAATGGATGAGTGAATTTTATTTAATCTGTTTTTAAAAGACTTCTTTAGTTCTATTTTACATGCTTGGGTTTATTGCTTACATGAATGTCTGTACATAAGCCAGAAGAGGGCGTCGATACTCTTTGAAACTGGAATTACAGCTGTTTGTGAACCAACATGTAAGTATTAAGAATTGAACCTAGTGCCCCTGCAACCACCCACCCCTGGATAGCAGTGTGTGCTCTTAACTGCTGAGCCATCTCTCCAGCTCTCTTGTTTAATCTTTAATATACTGATGGAAATGAGGGTTGGTCCTACCTTTTCATAGGTGGAACTTTTCTGTCCCACCAGCCAGCTCCCAAATAATCACACAGAGACTTATTTTTAATTATAAATGCTTGGTTGATAATTTAGGCTTGTTGCTAACTAGCTCTTTCAGCTTAAGTTAACCAATATTTCTTATCTACACTCTACCACGTGGCAGTACCTTTTTTTTTTTTAGGATGGCATGTTCATCTCCTGTTTCCTTTGTGCATGATTAATGGCTCCACCCTCTTTCTTCTTCCCAGAATTCTCTTAGTCTAGCTCTCCTGCCTAACCTCTCTCTGCCTAGCTATTGGCCAGTCAGCTCTTTATTAACAATGAAAGCAATACATCTTCACAGTGTGCAAAAGCATTATTCCATAGCACCATTTAGATGTTGAATCCTGCTATTAATAGCTTGTGTATATTAGGACTTCTTAACATAAGTTCAACTTCTCCAGAAACTGCCACTTTTGTTCCTGAAGTGATTATATCAACTTACATTTCCACCATCAGTGTATAGAAGTGCCACTTGTCCAGCCTCATCCACTTTGTGTTGATAATTTTTGGTTATTCTAGTAAGCACAACTATAATTCTCACTTCTCCAGTCACTTGAGTGTCTTTTCTGCCTATTTTCTATGGGAAGCCAAGGATCTCTTGTGAAACAATGTGCTGGGTAGAGACCCTCCCAGAGTCCAAGCTCCTTGTGTTAGTTCTCCTGCTGAAGCTAGGCTAGACGGTGGTCTTAAGGGCTGAGAGTGGGCGTGTTCCTTCTTCAAGTTGATCATCAAGGCGGCCTTCTCTCTAAATATAGTCAGGGTTGTGTATTCACATCTTTGTGAGAGCTTGAAGCTAATTTGTGTTTTCCTTTTGAGTTCAAGAATTGTTGCTGTACTTCTGATTCATGTCCTTCATCAGAGATATGACACATAATATGATTTCAAATACTTTCTCTTGCTCTGTAACTTGTTATTCTAATGGTGTACTTAAAGGAACAGTTTAGTTTTAATAATGTTAAAATTATTAAATTTTGTCTTTTATGACTGGTGTGTTTGGTGTTGTATCTAAGAAATTATTACTTTAACACAAAGTCATGAAGAATTTTCTGTGTTCTTTGATAGGGGTCTGGTGCCTATAGGTGATCTCAACTTTAGGTCTATGATATATCTGAGCCAACTTTGGTATTTTCTGCCAAATATGGGTCAAAGTTTATAATTTTTGTGTACCAACATTTAATAATTCTAGCATACATTATTGAAAATAAACTATTTGGCCACAGAGTTATCTTTGTTGAAAGTCATTTATCCACATGTCTACAAGTCTGTTTCTGAACTTATCTATTCAATTCAATTATATTCTATTCATGGATCTTTATACTATTGACATGCACTGTCTTAATCCTTATAGTTTCAAGTCTTAAAATTAAGTACCATTGGTCATTGATTGCTCTTTATTTTCAGTTTCTAAAATTGGTATTATATAAATTTGTGTTAGAAAAAACTGAGATCCTTGGTTCACTCATGTGGTAACAAACCCCACTGAGGCTGAGGCCCTGGCATTGAAGGTTATAGATCTGGCTGGTAGGAAATGGGGCACAGACAGCAGGTGATCCTGCTAGAGCAGATGAAAGAGAAGGCATCAGTTCACCATAGATGGCACATCTTGAATACATGCTGCCAGCCCAGAGGCCCTGTCAGTCCCAGGGCAGGCTGAGTAGCTTACAGTTGTTGAAAACACAGTAAGTTCTCTCCAGAGAGCTAATTTAATCAGATAATTCATGACTGTTTAGGATACGGCAATAGCTCACAATAACACCTCAATTATCATGGAGGCAGCCCCCTATTTGTCGGTTAGATTAACTTAGCCATGGTGCCTTGCTTCTAATAGCATTCACCATCTAGTGACCTTCAGGAAACACAGCCTTTTACTGAACATTAATCAAAGTCTAGGTCGTGAGTTGAATGACTCTGGGTTTTGTGGCTGTTGGTGACCATTTAAGCTGCAACAAACCGGTCAGTTCCCGGCTTAATGGGCAGCACTTGTTACTGAGTTACCAGAACCTGAGTTTCTTACTTACTTAGGAAGGCCCCCAATTCATTTGTTTCAAGTGTGTGATTTTTCACGCTGCAGCACTGTGACATAGTTTAGAACTGTGCTCATCACCTGAACTCTAAAGCAAGAAATCCAGCAAGAGGAATCTTGGGTATGTTCGGTGCCAGCAAACCTAGCGTGGCATGCTTGGGAAGAATGGGAGACACCAACATTCTTCCAGAGTGATCTGTATCCAGCCAGGATGCAAGGACAATCGTCTGGTCTTTCTAGAATCTCCTCATACCCATTGCACAGGGAATGACTTACATGTACCTCTATAGAGAACTCAATATTACTATTAATCCCTCAGAAACATGCTTGTTTGCTTCTTAGATAATTTGATAGGACATGGCAAAGCCCAAAAGGATCCTGAGAAACTCTCTATATTTTTCTTTAAGTTGTAAGCAGTTTCCTTAACTTAGAATGTGCTTCTGAAGCAAAATAGAACACTTAAAGAGACATACAGGATGGTGCTAGGGAAGGCCGGATAGCGGTTGACAAACACAGCCATGTGTGCTCACCTGTTCTCCCCAGTTTGTCTCAGGAGGAAGGAACCACACTGGCCAGTGTCATCATCCCGTGTTTGTTGATGGAGTGGTAGTGTCCACGATGAACAGAAAACCTCGAGGGCAGAGTGGTTCCTGGGGCATCTAAATGCTGCTGTTTATGAAAAATTGGAACTATGGTGGCTCTAAAGAGGAAAACAATCCCAGAGATGCTTTGGAGCTAGCTTTCTTGGACCAGACAAAGAGTCTTTATCCTATGCTGAGCCAGGATGCTCTTTTCCTGCTTCTCGTAGTTCCTCAGCATCCTGGGTTCTCAGGACCACTCTGCTCTCTCCAGGCAAAGTCTGAATTTATAAAGAACCTGGTGACTTAGACTCCCAAGTCTTGGCAAGTGAAATCACTTATTGTCATATATTAACCTATTTCTCAGTTGACAAAATAAAAAGGGTTAGTAACAGTTATTCTGTGTGTTTGCCTCTCTCCTGTCTTTTTCTTGTGCGTGTGCATGGGGCATGCACGCTGGCTTGCATGTAGCTTTACAGTAGGTGTCAAGGTCTTCTTTGATTGCTCTCTGACTTACATATTGAGGCCTGATTCCTCAGTTGAATCCAGAGGGTACTGATAGTCTACTTGGCCAGTGTGCTCAGAAGATCCCATTTCCACCTTCTATGCTCTGGGATCTCAGGTAGGCTGCCTCCCCGATCGTGTATTTACATTGTTCCTGGGGATTTGATCTTTGCTCCTCATGCCTGGGCGGCAAGCAGTTCAACCTGACTCATCTCCTCAGCCTTTGTACTTTTGTGTACTTTTTCTTTTTCTTCCCTCCCTCCCTCCCTCCCTCCCTCCCTCCCTCCTTTCTTTCTCTCTTTTTTTCTTTGTTTTTACAAGACAGAGTTTCTCTGTGTTGTTCTGGCTGTCCTGGAACTTGCTCTGTAGACCAGGCTGGCCTTGAACTCAGAGATCCACCTGCCCCTGTCTCTCAAGTGCCAGGATTAAAGGTGGGTGCCACTACCTACCGGCTGTGTCCTTTTTCATAGATACTGATGCTTTTGCCTGGGTAATAGGTTTCTAATTGTAGAATTTAAAGACACCAATCAGATTATAAGAGGAGATAACTTTGTCAGACAAAAGATAATTGCTAATAAAATTAGAGTATTTGTTTATCTACTTCACCCACTTTTAAAGGCTGGTAGTTTACTGTCCACCAGCATTCCGGCTTTCCTATATACTAAGGAGAGGTCTTATTAGTGAAGCCAGTGGGGGGCTATCAGCACAGTGAGTGGTCTTCTAGGGACCCTCACATTCCACTGCATATCTCTCAGCCGCTTTCCCCGGGAGGCCCTCTCCAAGCCCAGATACACAATCTCCATTACTGAAGAGGTGAATCTGAACTGTTGGGCTGATCGAACTAAACAATGTCTTTCTGCATTCATGGGACTGAAAAGAGTTAAATTATAACTATTAAGTTCTATAAACTTTGATAACAATGTTTGGGCTGTTTTCTCCTTCCTACTGCCATGAAGTTTTTACCTTTTGGAAATTAAAAAGGTGTTTTGCACTTTCTAGACTGCTTAAGGACAGCTTTTCTGAGCTTCCCCTTCCCGTTCTGATCCAAATTGCTTGTTTCTAAGCAACTTAATACGCTGTCGTTAGATGTTTAATTCATTTTAAGATGTGTCCAGAACTGTTTGTGTTGGACTTGGGCTGGTCGCTTGAATCTTGGGAGCTGGCTGCCTTTCTACAGTCTCCCTTCTATCCATTTTGTACACAGACTCTGTGGTAGACTTACAAGTTACGTACACACAAACACACTTGCCTCATTGTGTTTTAGATCCAAAATTCCCAACAGAAAGCAGCCGTATAGTAAACAGTCTCAGAGATGTGTTTGCTCTCCTTCATGAACCCCTAACCATTTCCTATCTTAGCAGAAAGTATGCAAGGCTCAGGTTAGGTCAACAAAAGAGTCCAGGTCAGCTGTGGGAGAGTGACATGGGAAAATATTAAAACATCAATAGGCAGCTTAGGCCGACTTTGGAGCTGGTCACCTCAGGTACCCGGCATGTAGCGGCTTCATTTCCCTTTTCTATCACAAGGAGGGGTTCTTTGACTTTAAAATACCCATTTACTGCTGCAGATAGCTCTGTGAGTGGCTTGTGGAAGGTCTCATAAACGTACCCCCTGAACTATAAAACAACAAACAGTTTACAGAATGGTTTCCCAGGCCCTATGGGAAGCCCCTGTCAGGCCACATAGCTTGTTCCAGATGAGACTGAATAGACCTCCTGCTTCAGGCTCAGGGCAGTGGCCAACTCAGAGGATTTTTCATTGACATGTGAGATTTACTTTGGCCTCTCAAACCCTACATCTCAGCAAAACAGGGCTCCAAGTTTATGTGACCTGGGTTAACTGTGAAGAAAAGAGATGGGACAAACTTCAGGGGCTGCAGCCTGTTTTAGCAATATATACATATTTGGTGTTGATTTCTACTAATATAGCATATTACCTAAAGTAATTAGCTTATAAACAAACAAACAATATGAAAAGCTTGTTTGTTATTAGAGTTTTAATGGTTCCAGTCCATGAACAGTTGGCTATGTGACCTTGGGTCTGTGACTGTGACCATATCATGGTGGGAAAATGGGGTGCAGCTAACTTGCCTACATTGTGGTCAGAAAGCGAGGAAAGAAGAGAGAATTGTAGCTCCATGATCTCTGTTGAAGGTTTATAGCTGATGACACAAAACCTTGAACCAGCTCTCCTTTCCAAAGGTCCCTCTTCCAGGGGCACCACCCAGCGGGTAACCCTTTAACATAAGAGCCTCTGGGGATCACTCAGCACCCAGCACCTAAACCACAGCTGAGCAGACCTCATCTTCTACTCTGAGTCTACGCCCATGCTTGACTGAAGGGCACTCTCAGGTGTGACGCGGTCTTGTGTGAACACACATGTGCTCACTCTCCATTTCCTGCTTAGCGTCTCTCAGGTTAGCGTAAATAAATTCCAGGACTTTCAAAACAAGAAAAAGGTACACCTAGATCATACTGAGAATTGTTTGGCTGAAAGAAAAAAACATCACACAGTTCCACTAAACAGTTGTGTGAATGTCCGTTGCAGATCGTCAAGAGCGGGCGAGTGTTTCCCAAAGATCTGTGGCCTTGGAAGACTTCTCCTTATTTAGAGATGTTCTCAGAATCTCCTGTTCCACAAGGAGAACCGTGGCAGGCTTCAGTCAGGTTTCAGCTTCAAGCTTGCCTCGGTCCCTCACACTCACTCCATCACAAGGCGGCAGCAGCAAGATCCTGCTGACGTGGTCGCATTCCATCAGCTGGATCCCTGTGGACCAGAGCCAGGGCCAGCTGCAGCGTCCTGGCACTGAAAGACCGCCCCTGGCCCGTGTGAGAAGGTGTGCACATGTGCCTTATAGAATACAAAGTCAGGACACAGTCTTGGAAGAATTGCTGTTTCATGCCATAGTAGAACCAGGGAGTGGTGCAAGAAAAGGGAGCCTATGACAGATTGTGACAACAACCTTGAAATATTAAGAATACAGGGCTCTTCCCTGGCATCTCTGTGGGGTTTCTTTTTTCCTTTCTTTTTTTTTTTAAAAAAAATAAATTTGTTTATTTTACATCTGGCTCCTTCCTCTCCTCCCAGTCCCCCCACCAACCTGCCCTCTGCCCACCCCCATCCACTCCTCCCTGATTTCTATTCAGAAAGGGCAAGGCCTTCCTGCCCCCTCAACAAAACATGGCATATCAAGTTGCAATAAGACTAAGGACCTCTCCATGTATTAAGGCTGAACAGGTGACCCAGTATGAAGAATAGGTTTCTTAAAAATCTATTATTGAGAAATTTCCCCAAGTTATATTATATTATATTATATTATATTATATTTTTGAATGGGAGGCAAAAATCATGAGGGTATCATAGTGTTACTGTCTCAGTGTTAAAATGTTTTGTTTATTTGAACAGAAATAATATTTCCCTCAGTCTATTTGGGCTGCTATGATTGGCTAATGGCACAAGTTTATCGCTCACAGTTCTTCAAACTACATAGTCAAAGCCAAGGCACCGGCAGAGTCAGTGTCTGGTGGAGGCTTGTTGTGTGTTCCATCAATGTTACCCACGGCTGTGACATCACATGGTGGAAGGGACCAAGAGGAGGGTACTATCCCGTGCATGAGGTAATAGAACTCACGACGCAAATGTTCCACTTTCTAATCCTAGAAATGGGGAAACTGAAACCTGTTTTTTATCTTTTATTTGCAATTTTAAGTTGAAAACATAATCATACCATTTCCCTCTTCTTCTGCCTCTAACCCTTCCCATGCCCCCAACCCCACCCCAATTCATGATGAGGTCTCCTTTTTGACATATGAATTTTGGGAGGACATTCTATTCAAATTGTAGTGGTATTGCTGTTGCTTTAAGTTAGCATAGAGAACAACAGCTTAGTTGCATGTTTTCAGACTTATTTGTTCATATTTGCTCCCTCCTCCAATGCTCTCTTCCAAAACCCTTGTCCCCTTCTTCTTGGTCACTTTCCTTCCCCCGACAACACTCCTGTGTCCATATCACATGCATTCTGTGATCTTCTCCCCACCCCCACCCTGTCCCTCACTTTCATATCACATGCATTCTGTGATCCTCTTTCCACCCCAATCCCTCTGATAATATGGTTTTTCTTACCCTCCCATGGTTCCTTACTGATTTCTTCACACACATGTGCACACAAAACATACACACACACACACACACACACACACACACACATGCAGGCACACATACACACATGCACATGCAAATGCATATTCACACAAGTACAGACACACAAACACACACAGGTGAGCACGCATTCACAGACAACAAATGAACCTTTAAATCCTGTTTACACATGAGAAAAAATACGGTATTTTTTCTTCTTTCTTATTTCACTTGACATAATACTTTCCAATCCTACCCACTTTCACATAGATTTTATAGTTTTATTTCTCTTTATGCCTCAATAAAATCCTATTGTGTCTATGCGTCCCCATTATCTTTATCTGCTTACCTACTGATGGACATCTACAAGTCGTTATGGCGGGACTTGGAGTCCTTTAGACATATGCCAGGAGTGGCATTATCTGGTGTGGTGATTTGAAGGAGCTAGCCCCACAAACCTGGGGCATTTGAATACTTGGTCCCCAGCTGGTGTCTATCTGGAGAAGGTCAGGAGTTAGACTTGCTGGAGGATTTACTCCAATGGGGTAGGCTCTGAGGTTTTAAAAGACTAGCTCCATTTTAAGTGCACACCTTCTGAATTCTGTGGGTGATTTGAGATGTGCGCTCTCAGCTGCTGCTCCAGCCTCCTGTTCCACTGACATGGGCTCTAAGCCTCTGGAACCCTCAGCCCCAGTAAGTTCTTTCTTCTCTAAGCTGTCTTGGTCATGGTGTTTCGTCACAGCAATAAAGAAGTAATTGATACAACTGGATCATACGATAGCTCTATTTTTTTGTTTATTAAGAAACGTCCATGCTGATTTTCACAGTCAACATTCCCACCAGAAATGGATAAGTGTCTCTCTTCCATCAAACCTAGCTAGCATTTGTTATCGTTTGTTTTCCTGAGGATAGTCATTCTGACTAGGAGGAGGTGGATTCCCAAAGCAGTTTGAATTTACATTTCCCTAATAGCTAAGGATGTCAAAAAAAACTTTCACTATCTTCTACTGGCCGTTTGTATTTCTTTTGAAAATTGTCTATTTGAATCTGTAGCCCATTCTTTATAAACCAAGTAAGTTTATTTGGGCTCACAGTTTTGGAGGACAGAAAGCTCAAGTTCAGGAGGCGCCATCTGTGGCGGTGGGATCATGATCTTGTGGTGGGCGAGATCACACAGTAGGGGTGCATGTAAGAGCTGTGAGCAGTAGGAGTGGGAGAATCCTAATGTGGGGTGGCCTCGCATCATGATAGCCCCTTTCCTGATGTCTGATGGGCATTAATCCTTCCAAAGGATGTTGTCCCCATAAGCTCATAGCCTCCCGTTAAACTTCGTCCCTTCCTGTCCCCTTCCATCTCACACTGTAAGGCTGGGAACTAAGGCTTCTCATGTAAACCATCAGGAGACAAACAATATCCAGATAGAAATGTGTAGCTTGGTCCTGGGCTACAACCAGACACAACCAGACAAAAGAACACTGTAGCAGATAACACTTAGCATGGGTACACAGATAATATATTTCTATTGGAAGCAGATGACCTTTCCAAAGAAGCATGTTTGAAATACCTGGATCATACAGTGGTGTGTCCCAGGGCAGAGACATCTATTTTAGTAAAGATCTACTTCCTTTGTGACTTCTATCTTAGGTCAGAATGCAGAAGTATGACAAAGACCTTCACTACTGTTACAACAGAGGTAACAAAATAGCAAAGCAAGAAGTATCATCCCTTAGGGCAGGGCAATTGGTTGGATGAAGAAAGCACCAGGATCTGAGTCTAAGAAGAATACCTTTCTACGAATGGGCAGGAAGTCATTGCAGCCTCTCATCCTTGGGTGCACACATCTGGTCTGGGTGCACGTAGAAACAACCATAGTGAGATCTTTCAGTGATGGAGGGAAATTGGACATGTATTTTAGGATACCCTGGTCTGGGTAGAAGAGTAAGGGTCTGGTAGAGCTTTAGATGAAAGGGCCAATCTCCCTCCCCGCATACACACACACACACACACACACACACACACACACACACACACACATTCAATTGATTCTTTAGAAATTTCACATCATGTACTCCAAACCCCCAATCTCCATAACTGCCCCTCATCCCTACAACCCCCTAAAAACCTCCTAAATTATTAAAAATAAAACATAAAGAATAAAATAAAACACAAAACAAACAAAAATACAAAGATATCAACTAAAAACAAACAAACAAAAACAAAACCAAAAAAACTTCTTCAGTCTGTCACCTCTTCATCTGTCCTGGTGGCACTGGGACCCCTTTGTGGATGCAGCGTCACTTGCAAATGTGCATGGTGTAGTGTGCTGTCGCTCAGCTTCGAGGCCTCTGGCCTGTGGCACACCATCACTGCTGGACTCTCACCGAAACTCCTACCGGATATCCTGCTGTTGCCCCAAGTCATGGAGATCCTGCAGCTTCACCTGCTCTTGCAGAACATAGAGGGAGCAGACGCTGGGGTGGGCCAACTCAAAGCCCTGGATCTGTGCCTGGTCTGTCTGTCTGGGCCACTGGACCACTCCTTCGGGTGGGGGTGGCGCCAGCCTTCCGATGCTCTCCCTCCTCACTCTCCCTTCCCCCGTGAGGGGCAGGGTCAGCTCCCAGTGGAGGCCAGGGTGAGCCCATCAAGACCCTCGTACTTCATTGCATGGTTTGCATAGGCTCCTGTGGTAATAGGGACAGTGAACATCAGCACTGACCCCAGCTGCAGCAGAGCCTTGGTTCCAGACGTGGCCAGCAGCAGCAGCTTGGGCCCGGATGGCACCATAAGGACCAATCTCTCAACCCAGCAATTTTTTGTGTCACTCTCGTTGTCCCATTCCCATGAGGTCTGCTGAGACAATCAGCGAAGGTGAATCGTTGGTACGCAGAGCACAGAGAAGCCAGAATTACACAGCTGCAGTTTTTGGTTGTTGTCTGTGCAGCATGCAGTGCACTTCTCCTGTGAGTCATCTTGAGGCATTGCAGCCTCGTAAGTAAATTGTTCCTCCTGCTTGGCACAACAAAGGATTTTAAGGAGTAGTGGTAGGAGACATTTGGGATTTGATAAAACACTCTACCCAGAAGCCATGATTTAGGTAACTCATAGAAGATCAAAGTAGAGGGCATACGGTTCTCCTCCTTTACCTGATTGGAAGACTCAGAGCATCATCCGAGAATGATGGACAGACAGTTATATTCAGAGACAAGGCACAGAAAAGTGGTTGCCAGGAACTGGAGGAGATTGGGTGGTGGGGTTAGTGGGTATGGAGTTTTCAGCTGGGAAATGTTAGAACCTTTGGGAGTGGGGTGGTTCCAGCTCTTTAACAATGTGAGCATACATGATGACATTGATCAGAAATTAACTTTGCTCTGAGACCCTCGCCAACCCTGTATCCATGTCTACAGCATCCCTCAGGTTACTCTTACACAGTAGAAACCAAGAGAATCAAGAGTCTTCAATGGGAGATAATGAGAGCAGAGCAATAAAACTAAACACCTCAGCCCAATGGCACAGGTTTATAATCTTATCTGCAAGGGAGGTTGAGATAGTGTTGGAAGTTCAAGGACAGGCTGGACCACAGGAAGAGCTGCTAATGAAACCTTGTCTCCAAATGAAAAGTAGGTGATAGTATACTCGTGTAGCATGTATGAACCTTAGGTTGAATCCCCAGTGCTAAAACACACAAACCTGAATATATTAACATTGATATTCAGGTATCTACACTTCAATTTAATTTACAGTCTATCAAATCTAAGACTTATCAGGCACTTACTGCTCTTAGAATTCTTTCGAAGTCCTTATCCGTGGACCTGATTGATTTGCTTCTGAATTAGCAGATTGATAAATTTGA